GACAAGAAATGCAAAACCTGCCAACACATCTCCACCACCCCCACTATTACTACACCCCACAACAGAGCCATCAGCATCCCAGGATCTTACAGCTGCACCTCCAGAAATGTGATATACCTCATCCAATGCACCAAATGCCCTGATGGAAAATACATAGGAGAGACCAAACAACAACTGCGCACCAGAATGAACGCACACCGGACATCTATCAAAGACAGAAATACCCAAATACCTGTGGGGGCACATTTCTCACAAGAAAACCACTCTCTCTCCAATCTCTCAGTCCTGATCCTCAAGGGAAACTTACACAACACTTCCCAGAGACGAGCCTATGAGCTCCACTTCATCAACCTCCTGGATACTAGAGATCATGGACTAAACATAGACATTGGATTTTTGATACATTATAATCTGCCTGGCAACTGACTCCCCAGCCCAGCCCAACCGCTGGCTTCTTTACTTTTCATTCCGTCCAGGAAGAGCACACACCACCTGCAGAAACTTCCTTAGCCTGATGAAGGGTTTTTTGAACCCGAAAGCTTGCTTAATAATTATTTTCCAACTATTTGGGTTGGTCTAATAAAAGATATCAGATTCACCCAAGGAACCTTGTCCTGGAAGAGAGGATTTGTTGGGGGACTGCAAAGTCAGGCAGGCTCTGTCATTAAGTGATAGGAGCAGGAGTGCTTAGGAGCTTACCTCTTGTTTGGATGGATGTGCTTCCAGGGCTCCCACTAGGATTGTATCAGGCATGGAGGTCAGGTGAGAACAGACCCTCTGGAGCTGGAAACAAGCAGACAGATGGATAAGAAACCTGGCCTGGGCCAGATCCAGAAAGATGAGACCCACCTATGTGGAAAGAGCCTTTTTGCTCTTCTATCATCCCCAGGGGCTGCAGCCCTGCACTACAACATCCATCTACTCACAGTATGAGTGCTGCACCTGGTGGACCTGCATGGGGTATCACAGCCCTGTGGCACCTGGAGATGAGGGGGTGTCCCCATCTTCTGTTCCTGTCAGGATTTCCCTGCAACCTGACGGGTGTAGTGGAAGGATAGGACTGGAAGGAGCAGGGCAGAGAAGTTGGCACCCACCTCTTCTGGGAGGAGAGGGGGCTCTAAAACAGCCAAAGGTCCCACAACGCTACCCTATACAAGTATTGAACTCTCATGTTCATCCTTAGAAATATGGTTGAGTCTTCATTTTTTTAAATCCTAAGTCATTAAAGAGCTCACTGTCTAACCAGGCAGGACTCTTGCTATTTTCCCCAACCTTCCTTGCACTGGGATATGCTCTTATGCCCTTGATACTGTGCTTCTGCATGGTAGTGTTTGAAGACAGGCCTGGCAAGCCTGCAAAGACAGATACCCCCTGCGGTGCTCAACTACGGGGCGGGGGTGAAGGGCAGAGAACTTATGCCAGATGTACAGACCAGTGTGTCACTCGGATGTTGCCCCAGCTGAGTCCAGGGGTGAAAATGGGCAGCTTCTGTGTGTCCCGTGCCCTGCCCAGCATCACAGGGTAAGCTGAGGAGACTTCCCCAGCCGCTGTCTTGCCACTGAGCCTGACGGGCCTCTACTGAGCCACAGAAAAGGAGAAAGATGGGCAGCAGTGGGGCTGGTCAGTGCTGTGGCATAGGTGAGACTTTGCCTGGCCCTGGGGACAGGAGGGTGTTTTGTCCTTGTGGCCTAGATGGCTCCGTCCCTGCCTCTCTTCTCTGTGGAGGTATCCATTCATGGTGGCTCTCTGTGAGCTGGACACCTATCCAGTCAAAACCAGCTTCCTTTTACACGGGGGGCTCAGTGTCCCTAAGGAAGGAACAGCGTTCAGTCATGGCTGACCAGTCAGCCTGTTTCTTCTCATGCTTTAACAGCCTGTCAGCTTTCCACAACCTACTGTCTCCCCAGGGGCTGCCAGGAGTTGGGGAAGCTGATGAACATGGTCTACTCTGCCTCATTAGCTGGGGTAGGGTTCATCTACCTTCCCCCACCCGCTCCTCTCTCAGGTGTCTGATGCTTCAGTAAACAACACCCGTCTGCCGCTCCCAGGGAAATCAGCTGCAGTTGCCCAGGGGGAGGGCACTGTCCCCAAGACAGGCAGGGAGCCCCTCCCCGGCGCAGCTTCTCAGGGCTGCTTCACTCATGGACGTGCTGTCTCCTGCGTGCTCAGCTCTGGTGTGGCCATTAGGAACCTGTTTGTCAAGGTGAACTCTGGTCCTGCCCGGCGCTGAGTAATGGTGTCTGTCTGCAACAGACAGCGAGGGAGGAGGAGGAGGAAGAGGCAGAAGGGAAAGAAGCAGGAAGGCCAAGGAGCATTGTGCAAGGTTTGCTTTCTAGCCTTCCCGTGGGGCAGGCGACCAGCCCTGCTACATCATCTGGCCCTTGAGGGGATTGCGAGGCTGACAGCATTTGCCTTTAACACCAGAGCCCCATCAGGAAAGTAAGTCTTCTCCACAGCCCTTCCTTTCCCAGGCAGCTGGGAGCTCCCTGCTCCCAGTTTGTCCCAGCCAGGCATGGAGTATCGCTCTTTGTTCTTTCAGAGGCAGGGACGCGGGCTGCAGCTGGCTGGGGGGTGGAAAGGTGGGCACAGTCACACCCCAAGTCTACTGTGGCATGGCAGTCCAGCAGACCCCCGCTTACTGGGGCTGTTCTTCCCTCTGTGCTGTCACCTGGAGCCGAGTCCTTTTCGGACCCTCCCTCTGAATGCTTCCAAAGCAACACACTTGGATAGAGGGAATCAGGCAGCATTTGTTAAGGGAACTCCCCAGTCTGGTAATCTCTTGCTCTGAACCTCTTCCCAAGTATCTGATCCTGCAATAGTGACTGTGTTTGTAGGTTGTGGGCAGGTTGTATCAGAGCCAGCTTTAAGGTCCATGGACAGCTGGCCACCAAGTTCACAATCAGCTGAGCAGTTGTGCTTGTCACATGCTTGAGTTTCTTGTGGGAGCCAGGGGGAAGCTGTGATACAATGGCATAACTAGGGGCTTTTGCTTCTGCCTCTTTGTGGGACTTCTGTCATCAAAACAGAGCAAATGCAGTGTGTCTCTGCTGTTAAGTTTACAATCCAGTTATGAGCCTGCTTTTAATGTTCAGCCCTGTGTGGCCTAGCTGAGGGCTGCTTGCTCTCTCCTGGGGCTCTGCTGCTGGGAGCATTAGCATGTGACTAGCAGAGATTTTCTATTCCTGCACTCGACCCCCCCCACCTCTCCACCCCAGAGACCATGTGGCAGTTATTCTTTGGTAAAGCGTTGTGATAATCAGCACCAGTCACATCAGTGAACCCCTGGTCCCGTTGCCATGCAGGATAGCCATGGATCCTGCTTTGGGCTTGGAGTGGGCTCAAGTGCAGCTCCCTGGGGTGCACTGTTCACTGGCTTTTTTGTGTTGTTCCAGGCAGCTGGTGGAATCATCTTCCCTGCAGTCCCTTCACCAAATGGGACTTGCTACAGCCCCAGAGCAGGGCATCACATTGCCCCACTGAGACCATGGCCGAAGGGCTGAGCCATGAGCCGGAGGCAGACTGCCCGGTGTGCTGGAACCCCTACAACAACACCTTCCGCACCCCGAAGCTGCTGCAATGCCACCACTCCTTCTGCATCGAGTGCCTAGCACATCTAAGCCTGGTGTCCCCTATCCGGAACCGGCTACAATGCCCACTGTGCCGCCACCCCACAGTGTTGCCCTCCGACCAGCCTGTCACCGAACTGCCCACCAATGCTGCTGTCCTGCGGTTGCTCAGGCTGGAGCCCAACCACATCATCCTAGAGGGGAGGCAGCTGTGCCTGAAGGATGAACGGAAGTCACGCTACTTCCTGCGCCAGCCCCGCGTGTACACCCTCAACCTGGGGACAGAGCCAGGACTGGGGACCAGGGTGGGTAACTCCCAGGCTTCCCCTAGACCAACCCCTCTCCCTAGCCAATCCACACTGCGGGAGCGTCTCCGTAACCCCCAGTTCCGCATCTTTGCCTATGTGATGGCCATCATCCTCAGCGTGATGCTGCTGCTCATCTTCTCCATCTTCTGGACAAAGCAGTTTCTGTGGGGTGTGGGCTGAGGACTTGCCAAGCAATGGGTCCTGGAACCCAGATATCTGCTCGCTGACTACAGAAGACCTCTGCTGCTAGGCATCAGCTATGGGCAGAGGAAGCTGTCTACCCTCTCCAGCATCATCCTGACAGGCTCTGGCTAATGGGCTTTACCTGATTCCTTTTCTGTGATAACTCCAGTCATGAGCTACATGGCGAGGCCCTGGCAGAGCTTTCCAGGTACTATGTGCAGAAAGCACCATAGTGGGGACAGAGGTGGTTGCTGGAATAGTCCCTGTGGCTGGCTCATGTTTAACACCTGCTCTTCACCTGCTTCCAGTCACAAGGAGTAACAAACTTAACAATGGATGGCTAAGACCATGAGAAGAGAACATCAGCCAAGGAGGAAAGAACCAGCTCTTTAATGCACAATGAAGATTTCCAGAGGCTCTAGTGCAGTGATTCTCAACCAGGGTGCCTTGAGATTCTTTCAAGGATGTCACTAGGTGCCAGATAATGTTAGCGCTGATAGGTATGCAAACATGATTCAGATGATAAAAACAGAGATTTCAAATAGGAATCCATAGTGTTAAAAACATCCTGACGTTGTGGTCTTTCTGAGTTCCTTGCAACAGAAGAATTGCTCTAATATTTTTCTGTAAGCTAAAATCAAGAGAAAACTAAGAGATGGCATTTTCTGAGGGGATCTTGAATCTAGCAAGGGATGTCTTGAGCAGAACCACTGCTCGAGTGGGATTCAAATCATTAGGTCCCCAGTGGCAGATCCCATGGGGCCTTTGTGTGGGATGACTGATTTACTCTACAGGCTGACACCATCTATTGTGGCAAACATCCTGGAGGGGGTGGGGGGAGGTAGAGGCAGTGCCTGAGCTATTTCTACCAGCTGTATAATCAGATCTCCTACTTGCAGCAAAGACCCTGAAACGACCCTATTGTGCTAATTGCTGCACTTCTGGGTGCTACTGAATAATATCAAACACATTTGATGCCTCAGGCAGGGTTCAGCTCCTCCTCTGCTCTCACTG